CTAGTTAGGTTGCAGGTATGGCGGCTAGTGTAGAACCCAGGCGGACTACTTAAATTAGGTACCAAAAGTACATGTGTAGCTTGATGTATCCTCGTTGTAACTGTATAAACTGAAGTTAATAAGTCTAATAAAATGTTCCCGGCTGTAGAGATCACCTTAATGCCAAAAAAAAAAATAAAAAATTAATTAGTTTGGTAGTTATATATAGTTTGCAATTATTAAAAAATATTAATATAAAATAATGTATTAATATAGTATTTATATGTTATTTAATAGCAATTATTAAATAATTAAATGCTTATTGTTATTTAATATAGTATTTTTTTTTTTAAAAAAAAAAAATTTAGCAATCTTAACTCAACTTTATTAGAACAATTAATGAAATATTAAAGTTTTTCAAAGAACTAATTCTAATAACACCTAATTTACAAGTTTCAGCTCACCCGGTTATTTAAAGAACACCTATGTGTGATCTGCTATAAGTAGAGATTTTTTTCTATAAAATTCCTTTCTACAATCAAATGAAAAAATATATCAATAAAAGGTTCCTGCTGGCCCATTTAATTAGCATTATAAGTTATTTAATAGTAAATATTAAATAATAAAACATATAGTATTGTTTAATATTAATTAATTGCATTATTTAACTATTAGTATTAAATAATGTATATAATAGTGTAAAATAATACCTTCAAAACTTCCTGATGTATTCTAAAAATACTTAAATATGATCTGCTATACTAATTTATCTAAATAACAAACTAGAAAGTTATATCAAAAAGCCTAAGTATTTTTTTTTTTAAAATTTCTTTTTCTTCTCATAAAGCTAAATAAAAAAAAGAGATATTCAAGTAAACTATAATTATTTGTTAAAAAAGTATAAAAGAGAAAAAAAAAAATAAGAGAGAAATCTAAATATAATAACAAGAAGATAACATAAAAAAAAAAGAAAAAAAAAAGAAATAAAAAGAAAAAAATAAAGACTACTCTGACTGCTCTAATCTAATTAAAAGAAAGAGTAAATCTCAAAATACTATTATAGCCTGTAGAAGACTTAAAAAAATTATATAACAAATGCAATATCTGTATATCTTTACTATAAAGCTTTGCCTTAATATGTAAATTTTTTTTTTAATTATACAACCATTTTCAGATATTTATTTATCTAGGAGTTTAGACCTATGAAGTAGCATTATATCTGTTAGTAAACAAAATATATAGTTGCAATCTACTAGGTTATCTAAATTTGGAAAGAGTAAACAATGCTGACATTTTAATAGAAGTAAGCTATTTTGCTTATTTTTTTATAAAAATTTTGAAAAATAAGCAAGTGTATAATAATATAGAAAATAGCTCTTGTACTTTCTTTTTTAAAGAATATATATTTTTTTCTGAAAGTAGTAGAATATATAGAGCCAAGTAAACTACTATTTTTCTTGTTAATAAGTGATAAATCCTGAACTTGTTAGCAAGTAGTATATGAGAACTACTTTTAAATAACAAATACTATCCTTATAGTAAATAATAAACTCTAAGCATGTTGGCAAATAGTGTATGAAAACTATCTCTAAATAATAGATGCTAGTTTATGGTTTTGGTCGACCTTATACTTCTCTTTTTTACTATAGTTTACTGTTTTTTAGAAAAAAGATTTGTTCTATTTTTGGTACAAAGGATTATTAGAAAGAGTTTATTTTTAGACTAAATATTTATTTTATATTAGATTATAATAATAAATAAATACTTGTAATAAATATAAATAAATACTTATAGAATATTAAGTACAGTCTAATCTCAATATAATTACTAGCTTAGAAAACAAAAATTTGATAATTATAAAAAGATATAACTAGTGCTTGGCACAATCAAACAAAAATTTAATAGTAAATACTTGTTAATATTTATATTTAAATCAGATGTCAAACAATTGCAGATTAATCAAAGCTAAATATATACTATTAGTTAATCTGCAATTATTTGATATTTGACTTAATCACAAGTATTTGACTGTCAAATTTTTGTTTGATTGTGCCAAGTACTAAATAAAGATCAAATTTTATATATTCTATATTAGTTTAATTTAAAAAATAGTGTGATTATATCAAGATATAACTATATTAAAAATAACTATAACAAGGTTAGACTATATTTAAAAAATATTATTAGCAAGTACTTATTTAATAATACCATTTAATATATAAAATAATAATTGGTTTAGCTTTCTGATAATATAATAAATATATATTTTTTAGTGTTTATTGTCTAATAAATATGCAAAGAGCCAAATAATTTTTTTTTAAAATCACTTCTATTTTAATATTTTGCTTATAAAACTACTTTTTGAGTTTTAACAAAAAAGATTTCTTGTTTAATTCTACATCTACTTTAATCTCTAATATCTAAGGTTCATAAAGCAAATTGCCAACTCTTTCCGCTAATCCTCTGCACCAAAACGGTCAACGAAGAAATTAGCAAATAGAAGGAAAACTAGTATAGAGTATAATACAAATACTACTAAGAAAAAAGAATAAGCAGCCAAAATAAACAACAGTTCGCTAGAACAAGAACTTTTGTGTACAAGATTGTAGGGCTCTCAACAACAGAATTTAATTTTTCTTCAAAATTTTTAAAATTTTTGAGGAATCCTACTTTACCCTGTAGTGTCGATCTGTTTATATACATAAAAATAAACAAGTAAACAAACAAACAAATACCTACGCGTCTTTTTAAAGCAGGAAGTAAACAATAAACAAAACAATTATTAGTCATGCTCACTGTAAACAAACACGTATTGTGTAAGCAACAACAAACGAAACAAACAAACTAAGACCAAGCAAATACCCAAATGCTGGCTTTAGAAGAGTTTAAAGACTTTTTTAAAAAGTGTGAAGAGGAAAAACTCACACTTTACAACAATCAACTTCCTACTATCCTTAAAAAAGACAGAAGAGTAACAACATACTTAGGAACAGATAATATTCAACTTATCGCCACAATCTATTGCATACTACATATATATGAGTGGGATGAATATAAAAAGATAAAAGAACTTGAACTAACTGAAGAGAAGAAAATTTTAATAGACAACAACTCTTCCTTTACTGAACTACAGAAGAACCTTAGTAAAAGCAATTTAAACCATCTACTACCAGAGGTATATCTTTCTTAGTCAAATGTTAAATCTGAGTCATGTCCTATGGAAGTTAGCTCAACATCTACAGAGAACATTCTCTACGATTGTAACACCACTATTAACAACTCTGAACCAGTTCCAATAGAAACTACCCCAGCACAAGAAGAAAAATCCTTAAGCAATACGAATACTACTATAATAAAGGAGTTAACAGAAATAACACAAAAGAGAAGCTTTACAGGAAAAGAAAAAGAAAGTAATATCTACTCTTCAGAAAAAAAACAAGAATTAACTAAACTATCTCTACTAGAAAATGAATATGGTGTGCTTGATTATGGTATTGTGGAACAAATACAAAAAACTACTCCTGTTGGCAAAGAAGCTGCTTTAAAAAGAAATAGCAAAAAACATAAGCAGTATAAAGATATATACAACTCAATTTGGGCTCCAAAAGGCAGTTTCACAATACAAAAAAATACATCACAATATTTCTTTACACTGTGGGACCTCTCCAAAGAGATAAACCCAGGTAAAATCAAAGGTTATTTAAGTTATTTTGGTATAGCAACTATACTAGCATGGTAACAAAACTTCAAAACCAAGGCAGCCTATATAAAAATTTCATCAAACACAGATAAAAGAGAAAGCTCACTGAAAGGAAATTGGTCAATCCACCTAGAGCAAGGCAAAACTTATAGAATAATATCAAGAAAATTTAATAGCTCTATACTATAATGACGACAAGGAAAATAACTTTACCATCTGCAGTAAATCAAACCTGGCTACACAACCTCACGAAATCAAGAGTTTATATAACAGGGCAGAAAATAGCAAACCTCTCCTCGCAACCAATACAGAAAATATCAAAATAGAAAAGGCAGATTCTCAAGACTATGGCATGAGTAACGCAAGCATTGCCCCCTGTCAACAAATGTTAATACTACTAAAACCAGAAAAGATATTAAAGGAAAAATTAATGCGTAGCCAGAAAATCTGGCACAACACGAGGTCTTGGCAGAGATTCTTAAAAAGCTATCCAAAATTGAAAGAGACTATGAGTCGATTCTGATATCTAGACCTAACTTATCCTAAAAGTAGTTACAGGCATCTCCGCAAATATAGGCAGTGTTACTGAAAGTCTGCCAGGATCTACATATGATCCAGAATTTAAACAGGGGGATAGCAACACAAACAAAAATAGAAAAAATGATAAAAATAAGGCCCAGTGGGATAATATAGATAGCAAAAGCACAGAGGACTATTTTAGAGAATTAGATGTAAATTGGGAGCAATCTGCAAGAAGTATTAAAAAAGGCATCAGTTCAGAAATCAAAGTAGCGATTCACAATATCAATGGTATTAAAAATAATAAACAAAAAATAGATTTACTAGTTAGCTAGTTAGAGGAAGAAAATATCACAATTTGTGGTTTGACAGAGACAAATATTTTAGCAAAGGAGGGCAAATTTATATTAGACAGTAGCAGTAATTACAATACTATATGGTCAAATACTAGTGTATCTAAAAAGAAAGGCTCAGGTATAAGTCTTTTAGTTAGAAGAGATTGGGAAAAATTTATAGGAAATATTTAATATATAAACGAGTATTTATTAGAAGTTAGCTTTTTCTTCAAACAGCTCATCTTAATTTGCTTAGTAATATACATCCCTCCAAATAACCAAGAAGAAGCTAGAGCAATACAACAAAAAGTAATTAAGCACTATATGGGCAAACTACTAACAGCTCAATATATAGTTATGGGTGACTTCAACAATATTATAGACCAGGCTTTCGATAAAAGTAATCCTAACTCAGCATGTAACCAAAAAGTTTTTCTGCTTTATTGATGGCTTTTAAACCAAAACTTCATAGACTCTTTCAGATTTCTAAATCCAGACAAAAGAGAGTTTACATGATCAAACAACAACTCAGCAACATGAATAGATCAGATCTGGATTTCAGAGAATTTAATAGCAGGATTGCTCCAAACAAACATACATAACATGAAGTGGTATACAAAAAGTAATCATAGTTTAGCTCTGATTAAGCTACAATTCCAATACCTTAGAAACTGATATAGTGCTGCACAAGCCAGACTTAGAGGATATGTAGGAACAATATTCCAATATGATAAAACAACTAATGAAAACTGGGAGGACTACAAAGAAAGTTTAAATAAACTTCTTAAAAACAAAGGTATAACTGAGTCATTATTCAATGTATCAAAAAACCAAGTAGTGAATATCGATGAAGTATGGGATAAAATAGCAAGTAGTATAATTAAAGCAGCAAATCTTAACATTCTAAGGAAAAAAATTCCTAACACAGTCTCAAATACAAGAAGGAAAGGAAAAAGATCTTACTTATACTTAGCCACTACAAGCCTAAGTAAGCTAATTGCAAAGGGGAAAAAAAATTTGGGAGCATATATCGATTCTCAATCAAAAAACCAAATAAACAGAACTATAGAGCTACTTAACAAGAATCTCCAAACTGATATACCAAAATTAAACCAAAAATGATCACAAGACTGGGTAGAGGACTCTAAAGGCTGGTGGTATATACTATACAATAAACTCTCTGACGAACTGAAACCCCAAAAACGAAAGGAAATTAAAAAATTTACTAAAAAGAGATGTTTAATGATACAAAATAATCAGAAAAGAATGCTAAGAAGCCTCCTTGATAAACTCTTTAAAAAAATCACACTAGACCGTGTAATGATTCAGCAAAATAATTTATGAACACTAATTACAAAACCAGATATAGTTTTGGAAAAAACTCAAGAACACTTTCAATAGCAGTTCCGCAAAAGAAGAGTTGAGAAAGACCTTCTTAATCACGAATAGGCAGAAACCTACAAACCAAAAGAAGAAATTCATTGCTTCTTATACTCTGGTTTGCTTAAAGATATTGAGAAAGAAGAGTGGAACACAATGCTTAGTGAACTTAGTATGAATACTGCGCCAGGCATATCGGGTATCAGTTATTTATTAATTAAAGCAGCAGACCAAGAGACACAAGCGATTTTTAGAAAGTTCGCAACGTATTGTATACAAAAAGGAGAAATTCCACTTAAATGGAAAATTGCTCAGATTTATCCAATTCCAAAGGACAGTAATTGGAATTTTCAATTAAGCAATGTCTACCCAATTGCTTTGCTTGAAACATTACGCAAGTGTACAACAAAGATCTTTACGAAGTGGTTAGCCAAGATCATTTCTGAAAACAATATATTAAAAGGCCCTAACTTTGCAGGACTTCCAGGTGAATCCACAGAAACTCCAATCCAAATACTTAATATGTTAATAGAGAATGCAAAAGAGAAGGAAGATAGTTAAAGTGATAAAGAGCTAGATTTAATAAGTCATAAAGAAGGATTAAATGCTTTAACTACTTTTATTGATTACTTTAAACAACAAACA